CTTTCATTATTTAAACAAATACTAACAGAGCACCTACCATATGCTAGGTACACTGTAGTAGGTGCTGGGGTTATATTTCATATTATGTTCTCTCAGACATCTTTTTTTTTTTTCAGCCTGGACACAGCAAGTTTAATGTCTCTGCTGTACATAGAATTAACACCCTTTCCCCTCCTCATCCTTATGCTGGCAACAGGATATGCACTAGAAAATTTGGCTCTTAAGAGTCAATGAATAAAAGGATGGGCTCATACACCTTCACAGTTCTTTTCAGAAAGGATGCTTATAATTTAAAGGATGTCCTAATGGGAAGGAAAGGTACAGGGCAAGAGGCTGTTTCACATTTTAGTCCATTAGTCTTTGGCAGAGCCCAACCAAGGCCAAATTCACCTACGATGCCCAATGGCTGTGGGGATCTCCACAGGGTCAAGTAAGCAAACCCAAATGAACATGTTGGATTAAAAAAAAACAAGATCTAGAAACTCTTGAAGGAAGAGCTTCACCCTGAAAAGGGAAGAGGAAAATGCTTGGAGGGGAAGGGCGGAGGGTCAGTGTGTGATCTCTGCTGTGGTGGTGGGCAGTGGCTTAGGAGTTAAGCCAAGGGTGCTGAAGACACTCGGCGGCAGTGGCTCTCTTCTCAGGGATCAGCTCCAACATGGGCAGTAAGAAATCTGTGAAGCCATAGAACTTCTGGGGAAGGTGCCTCGCAAGCTCATTGTGGCAGGAAAATATTCCAAGGAATTTTTCACCAAAAAAGGTGACCTTAAACATATCACGAAGCTGAAACCTTGGGGGCCTTTTTGAGGTTCTAGTGGAGAAGTATGAGTGGTCTCAGGAAGAGGCAGCTGGCTTCAGACATCATTTTGAACACTGTAAAACTATGACACTAAGAGCAAATAGCTAATCAACAGTCTAAAATAATTGGGAACTCTAAAATCCTGAAATATAAACTCTGTGTAGGGTCTGAATGGCTAAATTTAAAATGAATTAACTATTTAAATTATCCAGTAGGTTTCCTTGTCATCTGGATGAAATTTTACCTGAATGCATATACACACACACACACACACACACACATACATATATATAAATGCATACACACACACACACACACATACACATATATAAAAGAAAAAAAAAAATCACAAGAGCACCAAAGCACTTTTTAGAATAGGCTTTAGGTTTAAACCATAAATAATTTTTATTTCTGGGTATAGGATCATGTTATCTGCAAACAAAGGTAATTTAACTTCCTCTCTTCCTACTTGAATGTCCTTGATTTCTTTCTCTTGCCTGATTGCCCTGGTCAGAACTTCCAGAGGATGTTTCAGAAGATCGTTGTCTTGTGCCAGTTTTCAAGGGGAATGCTTCCAGCTTTTGCCCATTCAGTATGATATCGGCTGTGGGTCTGTCATATATTTTGAGGTATGTTCCTTTAATGTCGAGTTTATTGAGCGTTTTTAACATGAAGGGATGTTGAATTTTATCAAAGGCCTTTTCTGCATCTATTGAGATAATCAAGTGATTTTTGTCTTTAGTTCTGTTTATGTGATGAATCACATTTATTGATTCATGTATGTATGTTGAACCAATCTTGCATCCCGAGGATGAAGCCAGTTGGACTGTGGTAACTAAGCTTTTTGATGTGCTGCTGGATTTGCATTGATCAAGGATATTGGCCTGAAGTTTTCTTTGTTGGTTGTATCGATGCCAGGTTTTGGTATTGGATGATGCTGGCCTCATAGAATAAGTCAAGGAGGAATCCCTCCTTTTTCATTTTTTAGAATAGTTTTAGTAGAAATGGTACCAGCTCTTCTTTGTACCTCTGGTAGAATTCAGCTGTGCATCCATCTGGTCCTGGGCTTTTACTGGTTCGTAGGCTAGTTATTACTACCTCAATTTCAGAACTCATTATTTGCCTATTCAGAGATTCAATTTCTTCCTGGTTCAGTCTTGGGAGGATGTATGTATCCAAGGATATATCCATTTCTTCTAGATCTTCTAGTTTATGTGCACAGAGGTGTTTCTAATATTCTCTGGTGGTTGTTTGTATTTCTGTGGGGTCAGTGGTGATATCTTCCTTATCATTTCGATTGTATTTGATTATTCTCTCTTTTCTTCTTTATTAGTCTAGCTAGTGGTCTATTTTATTAATTTTTTCAACAAACCAGCTCCTGGATTCATTGATTTTTTTGAAGAGTTTTTCATGTCTCTGTCTTGTTCAATTCAGCTCTGATCTTGGTTATTTCTTGTCTTCTGCTAGCTTTGGGGTTTGTTTGCTCTTGATTCTCTAGTTCTTTTAGTTGAGATGTTAGGTTGTTAACTTGAGATCCCCCAAAAGCTTCTTTAGATGATAAGCAACTTCAGCAAAGTCTCAGGATATAAAAATCAGTGCGCAAAAACCACTAGCATTCCTATATCCCAACAACAGGCAAGCAGAGAGCCAAATCATGAATGAATTCCCATTCACAATTGCTACAAAAAGAGTAAAATACCTAGGAATACAGTTAACAAGCAAGTTAAGGACCTCTTCAAGGAGAACTACAAACCACTGCTCAAAGAAATCAGAGAGGAACAAACAAAAGGAGAAACACATTCCATGCTCATGGATAAGAAGAATCAATATAGTGAAAATGGCCATACTGCCTAGAGTAATTTATAGATTCAATGCTATTCCTATTAAACTACCACTGACATTCTTAATATAATTAAAAGATATATATTTTAATTCATATGGAACAATAACAAAAAAGCCTGAAAAGTCAAGACAATCCTAAGGAAAAAGAACAAAGCTGGAGGCATCACACTACCCAACTTCAAACTTTACTACAAGGCTACAATAACCAAAACAGCATGGTACTGGTATAAGAACAGACACACAGACCAATGGAACAGAACAGAGAACTCAAATATAAGACCACACACCTACAACCATCTCATCTTTGACAAACTTGACAAAAACGAGCAATGGGGAAAGGACTCCCTATTTAACAAATGGTGCTGGGATTAATTGGCTAGCCATATGCAGAAAACTGAAACTGGATACCCTTCCTTATACTATATACAAAAATTAACTCAAGATGGATTAAAGACTTAAATGTAAAACCCAAAACTATAAAAACTCTAGAAGAAAATCTAGGCAATACCTTTCAGGACATAGGCACAGGCAAAGTTTTCATGACGAAAACACCAAAAGCAATTGCAACAAAAGCAAAAATTGTCAAATAGGATCTAATTAAACTAAAGCACTTCTGCACAGCAAAAGAAACTATCATCAGAGTGAACAGACAGCCTACAGAATGGAAGACAATTTTTGCAGTCTATCCATCTGACAAGTCTAATATCCAAAGTCTACAGGGAACTTAAACAAATTTACAAGAAAAAAAAATACCATTAAAAAAGAGGGCAAAGGACATGAACAGATGCTTCTCAAAGGAAGACATACATGAGGCCAACAAACATATGAAACAAAACTCAACAACACTGATTAGAGAAATGCAAATCAAAACCACAAGATACCATCTTTGATGGCGATTATTCAAAAGTCAAAAAACAACAGATACTGGCAAGGTTGCAGAAAAAAAGGAATGCTTTAACACTGTTGGTGGGAGCATAAATTAGTTCACCCATTGTGGAGACAGTGTGACGATTCCTCAAAGACCTAGAGGCAGAAATATCATTTGACTCAGCAATCTCATTACTGGATACATACCCACAGGAATATAAATCATTCTGTTATAAAGATACATGCACACATACATTCACTATTTACAATAGCAAAGACATGGAATCAATCTAAATGCCCATCAATGATAGACAGATAGACTGAATAAAGAAAATGTGGTACATAGACATCATGGAATACTACGCAGCCATAAAAAGGAACAAGATCATGTCCTTTGCCAGGACATGAATGGAGTTGGAAGCCATTATCCTTAGCAAACCAACACAAGAACAGAAAACCAGATACTGCATGTTCTCGCTTATAAATGGGAGCTGAATGATGAGACTACACGGGCACATGAGGAGGAACAAAACACAGTGGGGCCTGTCAGCGAGGGGTGGTGGTGGGAGGGAAGAGCATCAGGAAGAATAGCCAGTGGGTGCTAAGGCTTAATACCTAGGTGATGGGATGATCTATGCAGCAAACCACCATGGCACACATTTATCTATGTAACAAATCTGCAAGTCCCGCACAGGAGTACCCCTGAACTTAAAATAAAAGTTGAAGAAAAAAAAAAGTGTTGACCCTCCCAAAAAGATAGCAATTTTTATTTTTTCCCATTTATTCCATATTAATTTTTTTGTACATATTTTCTAAGGAACATATGTCAAAATCTATGGGTCTAAGATTCTTAGATGTAAATCTCTTACTCCTTTCAAAGGTTAACAGAAAATTTAGGTTCAGAAAGGGTATAGCTGCGAGATGACAAGGAGATAACATTTAATGCATTACCTAATTTAAGAAAAAAGTTATTACTCAAAAGTTTAACTTTTTATTAATCAATAATAAAACCTAGAGATACCCTAATAATCTTGGGGCAAAGTCATCTTTTTTTCATGCTAGAAGAAAAGAATCGTACACGGCAGGTGTTGGTTAAACTGAACTCTGTTGCTGTTTCCCACGAACTCTCAAAGTGATGCCGCAAATCACTTCATTAACACCATGTGGCAAACAAGCAGCTATAATTAGGTGTTAGTCCACTTTCCATGCAACCATGTCCCAACATTGATTATTTAATTACTTTAATTGATTTATGTATTTGAAAAGCACTTGATACTTATTGATACAAACAATAACATTTTTACTTAAGTATCTATTTAAAATTTAAGAAGTATTCTGCAATCCAGAAAACAAATAGACCTCCAAAACCTCCAATGCAATATAGTTTTAATATAATTTTAAGTGATCATATGAATATCTCCTGTCACCTTGAATGCTAAAAGAAATGGATTTTACTTTTTAATTTCAAAATAACAAGTTAGCTTTAGCTACTCACACTATACAGGTCCCTTGTTTCTTCTTTCATTTTAGGGATCTCAAGAAGGAGGGCCCAGACTTCACCTCTGAGCTGGAGTGGTATTCCTTTGTAAATTCGCCTATGAAACTTATTAAAAGAAAAAGAAACTGAAGGTTACAAACTGACAAAAACTTAGACTAGTCTCTATAGTCAATCTTGCTGATATTTGTTAGCATTGTATTTCCAAAGCATCTATGGCAATTAATTAATACATTTCAACATGGCACAATGAGATACTGTCATCTGTTTTTAAGATTCTAACAGGGAGGCACAGACAAAGAAGGAGAGAGTATAACAAGAAATTGTTAAGAATGCCCAATGCATGAGCATGTTCAGGCCATTACGGAAGTGTCCCTTAAGTGGCACGAAAGCAGTCAGTGCTCTTTTTAAAGGTGTGAACATCTGATTTACACATTCCCTGATGGTATAATTAACTTCTTACACACTTTCTTCCTTTTATCCCACACACCTAAAAGATGCTCCGAACAGCAAAAGGGTTGCCTTGTCCCCAAAATGTCCTCATGGAATGTAGAGTGCTGTCTAACTCCTAATCTCTTTCCTACCACCTTCTCACTGGTCTCTCTAGAAGATACCAAGCTTCTCCTCATCTATCTGAAACCTCAGTTAATCCTATCGGCAATCTTCAGTGTTCTCTCTCTCTCAGACACTCTCATTCCCCACCCGACTCACCCACCTCCACCCCTCCACCCCCGCCGGCTGCCCTTTCTCCTTCTTTTCTCTCCTCTTTTCAGTTCTTGCTATTTCTTCAGGAAAACCTTTTTCTTTTTCTTAAATGATACTGATGCTATCTGATAAGACAAAAACGATAAATCTCCATAAAGACACCACTTTTGAATGAAATTAGGCATAAAACAACAGTATCATCAACTCCCTCCATCCTTGAAAGTCTACTGCTATTGCCCTAAGATTCTTAAGTTCAATATACCTCTCCATCTTCTTGTAATTAATTTTTTCCTCAAGTCTAATTACTCAGAATAACATAAAACCTATTACGGCCATCACAATGTTGTGCATAACACTTTGAAACTTAAAAATAGATGTCCAAACAGGGAAGTAACTAAATAAATTATAGCAGAAGCCCTTCAGATAAAAACTGGTACTCTTATTATCACCATAATATAGTTGAATGTTATGGTTCAGAAAATAAGATGCCAGTTCTAATAACTGAGATATTGAAGAGCTGCAATAACCGTACACAAGGCTTTAACTTCTATTACACTACTTAGATTTTTTTAAATCTAAGTCATAAGGCAGCTTTAAGAAACTTCAATCACGTGGTTGAAGGTGAGTGACCAAGTCGAACAACTTTTATTAAAAAACAGTGAATACTGTAAAGTTGAATCAAATAATGACTTATAAAATTTGTTTTGTTCTTTTGGTATAAATATAGTATGCTTCGAATTTGAAATTTCAGCAGATAGTGACTACAGTCATATAAATTTTAATCCCAGGCAATCACTTTAACTGGAGGAGTACGTACAGGAAGGCTTCATGCTGATGATAAAACTAGACTTGCAACATTTGCCTCATGCTCGACATTTACAACCATTAATTGCAAACTGAGTATGGTTAAAAACAAGTGAATTTAAGACTTGTTTTCCCAAAGGAAGTTTATGATCTATACCACTTCACAATTATAGTAAACTGTGATTTTAAAGTAATATCATCCACAAAAAGTCACTTCAAATTATCTTCTAAATTTCTAGAGTAAAGATGTCATACCACAGGCAACTGATTTGAGTATCAAAGTGTAGAAATCACTGCAAATGCTAAAAGTAAAATTTTAATAGGAAAGCGTAATATGACCAAACAAGTAAAATGACATTTTTAATGAGTAACATAAGAGCTCTGACACTTCTTAAGCTATATTACTTGAAAAGCCTTCAGACATTATTTTGTTGCTATTGCTCAATTGTGTACTCAATAATTGTACGTAAGTTACTGTCCACCATTTATCCTAAAGTTAAATCTAGATTTAGGAAAAAAACTCCATCAAACAGATGTGATTACATTAAAAAGTAGGAAATTTTGGGGTAGAAATAAAAAATTAATGGTCCCTATACTAGTACAGAGCTAAAATTAAAAATCAGGCACATATGGGAAAGGTTAAGAAAAAACACTGATACAGTGTCATTATCATCACCCATGGCAACAATTAACCCAAACTTTTACTGGGCATTTACCATGCACAAGAAACTATTTTAAGAAACTATTTAACAACTATTAGAAACTATTTAACAACCATTTAAATAAGAAACTATTTAACTAGTTAAACTTTTATTTTATCCCTTCCCTTTAAGCTATTTATGGATATTTACCTCATTTAATTATACCAACAATTCTATAACTTTAATTATACCAACAACTCAATTTTACCGATGGAGAAAGTGAATCACAAAGAGGTTAAATAACTTGCCCAAAAGTAAGCACAAGATGTTATAAAAGATGACTGATTTTACAGTTCATAAAAAAACAAGGACCATCTCCCAATGTCCATGGCACATGGAACAAAGACCATCTCCCTGTGTCCACGGCACATGGAACAAAGACCATCTCGCTGTGTCCACGGCACATGGAACAAAGACCATCTCCCTGTGTCCACGGCACATGGAACAAAGACCATCTCCCTGTGTACATGGTACATGGTTTTGCCCCACTGGACTTACTGAAATACATGGAATAGCGAACAGGAAAGTGTTAAGAAAGCCCAAGAGCAGAAAGCACTAAAATAATGATAAAATAATTACACCAAAAACTTAAAAGGAATATAAAAACGATGTCTTTGGAATCCAAGCAGTAGGAGGTGACAAAACAAAATATGTACACAAAATCACATATAGCAGAAAAAGAAATTATAAGACCCTAAAATAAAAATTTTCTAATTATGCTGATTGTTTTTCAAATACTTGTACTATTACTAACTTATTACAGTTACACATCTTTCTTCACAAATTTTCAACTATCATAGAAGTTTTAGAAACTTTATAAAACAAAGTAGGAATGACATCCAAACACAACAGTTTGGATGAAATCTGCTTATTCCCCAGAACAGTAGTCCAGTTTACAGTTGTTGATAATCCTTCAACTACAGAGCAGCATTTCATCTTCTCCACATCAGCCCCATAATGTAGGTTCAGTGCACGGGTTCCACTTACAATGGAAGTAAAACAAGATACAGAAGAAAAGTATCTGCCCTAGATCAAAAAGTTCCATCTTATTACAGATTCGGGGACTTTCTGCCAAATCACACTGTCTTCTAAAACTTACCGCTTTATTAAAGTGGCAGAATTTATCAGTAAAAAGTGATAGCTGGTTGTCCTCAACTCATAAACGAACATCATTCATTCATTCTAAAATGATACTTACAATGAATGCCTGCTTTGTGGCCAACGCTTATGAGGTCCTGTGGCTACAAACATGAAAAAGATCTGTGGAGCTCACAGTGTGGTGGGAAGAGAAATACATAAGCTGATAATTTTAACTTAAACAGAGAATCCTTTATCATAAAATACAGTCACATGCATGAACTGCTAACAGTGCTGACGGGGGAGGTGGTGGTAGAGACAGACTCCCCAGTGAGCCAGTGTTCAAAGAAGAATGGTGGGCATCACACTGTCCGGATCTGCAAGAGAAGCTATCAGGGAGTGGCTAGCCCTTCTACAAAAGGATACATACAATTCTAAGAGAGAACTAGAAAAAGGTTAGGGACAAAGTTGCTGGGGTGAGCGCCATGAATCTGCTGTGATGATCACTTCTTATGGGTCCAACACAGGCACTGTCATCCTGAGCCTATCTTAGAGATAACAGAAGAAAGGAGGAACTAATCCTGTGAGAGGTGGAAAGGATTTCCTTTAGACAAAATGACAATAAACTCATTACTGAATAAGAATGTGCCAGGAAGGGAAAAGTGGGGGTGGGAGCAGGGATGTGCATAATGATGAGTCCAACAGTAATAATAACAATAGTTAAAGAACACTTTATTTATTATGAGCTGACACTATGCTATGTGTTTCTAAATTAATTTATTCCTTGTAATATTACTGCATCCCTAAAGAGGTAGGTGCTATTATTAACATATCCATTTCACAAATCAAAAAATTAAGACATAGAAAGGTTAGGTAACTAGCTCAAAAGAAACTGCGTCACAAGAACTCAAATTCAGTCTGAGTCTGACTTCAGAATCCATACTCTTAACAACCATGATAAAGAACTTCTACATATTGAATTGTAACAACATTTCAGTATTCCAATTTGAAAAGTATTACCTTTAAGATTCTTCTACAAATTTATTTCATAGATATGATACATAAAATCTTTAAAAAGTCTACAGTAGTCCCCCAGAAACGTTTAAAAATCTATCAACTTAAAAAAAAAATTCCAACAAATGACTAATGTTTTCAGTACCTTTTTCTAAACCTTGGTGATTCAGTGACAAGTGTGCAATCCACATCATTATGACTGCCAGTGAGTAAACTTTTCAGCCCAGCAATTCTAGCTGAGTTTTGTGCGAGTGTGCGCCATGAAATAGAGGCTCACTCAAGCTGCTTATGCCTTTTACTGCCTCTCCATTTTCTCTAATCATCCCCGCTCCACTGGCTCCTTTGTTTCTGCCTTCAAACAGCAACAAGTCTCCCAAATCTGCATCTAAAAAAGTTTTAAACCATCCACAAGGCCCTACTGTGTTAACTACATTCTACTTCCCTGACAGACACCAAAAGGGAAAGCTGGCATAAAAGATGTTAGTTAAATAAGTTCTAAGTCTGGACATTCTTTTACTTGTTGCTAACAAGCTGTGTAACCTTAAGAAATTTATTTCTAAGCATTATGCCTCCATTTCAAGTATATCATGACCAGTTAAATCATAATGGTCTCCACTTAACAGAGATAACTTCACTTCATAGACTGTATTTTTAAAATACAGGCTGGGCACAGTGGCTCCTGCCTGTAATCCCAATGCTTTTGGAGGCTGAGGCAGGATAAACATTTGACGCCAGGAATTTGAGATCAGCCTGAGCAACACAGCAAGACCCTGTCTCCACAAAACAAACAAACAAACAAACAAACAC